ATAATATTATCTATCTGTCTATCTATGCACCTACCTACCTACCTATCTACATTCTTCCCTTTGCACAGTAGTTAGTGCTGGTCCCTAAAAATGACCATGTAAGCTGATATCATACAAAATGATCTTAATAATCAATTGAAAAAACTAAGATTGTTCCATGAGCTTTAAAAAATGTCAAAACATTAAAAACTTATATTACTGTCAGTTATACATGTAGAGGAAAATTTTTAAAACCATACTAAAACTATTTTTTTTTTTTTTAACTAGTTTGCTACCAAGTCAATTCTGACTTGTGGTGAGCCTGTGGGCGTCAGAGTCCAACTCTGCTCCACAAGGTTTTCAATGGGACGTTTTTTGGAAGTAGATTGCCAGGCCTTTCTTCCAAGGCACTACAGGTGGACACAAACCTCCAAACTTTCTGTTAGCAGCCCTAACCATGTGCACCACCCAGGGATTCACACCTAATCACTTCTCCAGAGCCATTCTTCAAGTGCCATCTGCTTCGTGTAGCCCCTTCTCAGGCCATTTCACAGAGAAGAATGTTTTTAATACTAAGTTTTCCTTCTGAGTAGTCTTGAGGAGATTTTCAGGATTTCCTCTGAATAGGATTTTTAAAGGTAAGTTGTTGTTTGTATTGTTTTAATTCATTTAAATGCTGGTTCTCACAACTTGAAATGAAATAAAATCTGTGTAATCTTTTCTTACAGCTATACCGTTACCTACCCACAAACTCAAAGCTTAAAACTATAGGAAAAGACAACACATGCCGATTGAAGGTAAATCACAGCTGAATATATATGGGATCACACTTCATATCTTTACAAATGCCAAGTGAATTCACTGATATTTGTGATATTACAAGAAAGGCACAGTATTAAGGATTTGCCATTCATTGTAACATTTTTCAAAAACCATTCATATGTCTCCACAGTAGGATTCGGTATTAAATGTTTATTCAAAAAAATTCCAGTTTGAATTTGTTCTCCTGGATTTAATCTGTGATCATCTTTTGAGAAGTTTTGAACATGTAGGCAATGAAAGACATTACTGCTCCCAGTGACTGTCCGTGATAAGTCATTATTACTCTTTAGGATACACTACATCACACAACTTAAAGAGGAATCTGTAAGGCTTATCTCAAATCTCATCAAATAACAATACTATTCCAAAAATAAGACTTTTTATGTGTATTTGTCACTGTTCCATGAGAATGCTTCATCATGAACCTACTGAAAATTTGGGATAAGCCAAAGGCATAAACAGGAAACTGACAAGTGAGAACACAGAATCTTTGGAAAAAATGTTTTCACTATCACTAACAATGATGCATTTATCCAAATTTATCCAAACAGTAATGCATTTATGCATAATTTGTTGTAAAGAGATGAAAGAAGAGTAACTTGGAGAGTTGCGACCATCTCCGTTACTTGGAAGATGAAGAGATGTGCATGACAGCCTGCTTTTGACCCTCCAAATCCAGTCTTTACTCTTTCCCACCCTGCCCTGTGCCTGGAACATGGATCTTAACAAAGTGTATCACTTGGGTTCCCTGGCTCTCTGGCTTCCAGCCTGCTTCAGTCACTGGGAGGCACCAGCCACAGATCAGGGGCTACAAAGATTACAGTTCTTAATGAATCACTCTTTTCTACAGCTATGGAGCCCCTGGGTGGTGCGGTTAAGTCCTGGACTACTAATGCAAAGCTTGGCAGTTTGAACCAGTCCACAGGTACCTCAGAAGAAAAGCCTGGTGATCTCTTCACCCTGCATCAGAATTGACTCATTGGCAACTGGTTGGTTGATGGTTTCTACAACTATGAATCTTGTCAGCTCCTTCCTCTTGCCGTCTTAAGTCAAGAGACAGCAGTGGTGTCCTGCTGGTGTTAGCCTCGGGGTGCTTCACCATCTTGTACTGGTTTCTTTTGTCTTGGCCACATCTTAAAAATTGCCCCTTGCATTAAATTGTTTCCATCCAATCCTTCTGAGTGTGCCACCCATTTACTGCCAAACCAAAACTCCACTGCCATCAAGTCAATTCCAACTCATAGCGACCCTTTAAGACAGAGTAGAACTGCCCTATAGGGTTTCTAAGGCTATAAATCTTTACTGAAACAGACAACCTCATCTTTCTCCCACGAAGCAGCTGGTAAATTCGAACCATCCACCTTTTGCTTAATAGCTTTAGCCACTACACCACCAGAGCTGCTTCCATTTACTGCCAGAACCCTGAAATACATTGTTGTTGTTATGTGCCGTCGAGTCGGACTCGACTCATAGAGACCCCTCCTTGGGTTTCCTAGGTGTTATCACTATGGAAGTAGATTGCCCAACCTTCCTTCTAAGGAGTGGCTGGTGGGTTTGAACTACCAGCCTTCTGGTTAGCAGTCAAGTGCCTTAGGTACTATGCTACCAGAGCTCCTCCTGAAATATATAGTATGTGTTTAAATCCATTAAGACCTTAACCAAGTGGGGATACTTCCATCCCAATAATCCCTCTCATTTTCCTCCTATAGTGACTGTAACGACAGGCATATCTCAGAGATATGGCAGTTTGGGTTCCAAGTCACTACAATACAACGAATATCACAAGAAAGCAAGTCACATGAATTTTTTTGGTTTCCCAGTGTATATAAAAGCTAAGCTTATACTATCCTGTAGTCTATTAAGTATGCAGTAGCATTTTGAAAAAGTTTGAAATATTGTGAGAATTGTCAAAATGTGGCACAAGAAACATGAAGTGAGCACACACGGCTGAAAAAATGGCACTGATAGACTTATGTGAAGCAGGGTTACCACAAACATTCCATTTGTATAAAACGCAGTATCTGTGAGGCACAATTAAGTGATAAGCAATAAAACAAAGTAAGTCTGTAACAGGGCAAAAAGCACCTAGTCACTGAAACAGCCATAAGAAAATAAAGTCATTCTTGGAACTGTCAGGGCAAGAGGAGAGGGTTTGACTGAAAATAAAACCAATGAAGTGGACAACGGAGCTGAGTAAGAAGAGTAAGGCCTAGTAATATTTAAATCCCTGGATCCAGCCACACCTGAAGTTTATCTTTGGGCATTTTAGTTACCCGAAATGTTCCATCTCCCTCTTTGCTCAAGCTAAGTTGAGCTGAGTTTTCTGTGACTCACAGCTAGATTCTTGATAGATCTATTAGAAACACCTACATTTGCAAAAGGTACAAAGTAGAGAGTGTCAGAGACTGTGACTTTTACAGCAATACCAACCATCCAGATTTAGGGTTATTTTCATGAAGAACCTGAACACAGAAGGTGCAGAAAGGCAAGCTGTGGCTTGTTTTCATTATGATTCTGGTGCTGCCATGACCTGCACTGTCCTTTTAGTCCTTTGAAATCTTTGAGAGATAGGACAACACCAAGCCAAACAACTCACTTTGTGTTGAACTTTGTGGCTGAGACCCATGCCAGAACTGGTGCAAACAAAGAACAATGGTGGAAAACAGCTGAATCCAAATATTATTTTCAGGTGCCACTTGACTGGGCCTTCTCAGATGACAGGTTTCATTGGCTAGAAAGCTATTATTGCAACGATTACTATTCCCTTTTACTGCCTATTAGAATGTGAGTCACTGGGAGGTCAGATTGTCCCAAAAGCCCAGTGTTGCTGAGCACTCAAGGTCAAGTTCAAGGAACAGGAATCAGGTATAAGGACAATGGCAAAAGCTCAACCCTTTGAAATAAAGAGAAGGGTTAATTCCCAGGAGATGGCAGCAAAGTGAGTTTTACTATCTTCAACATATCATGTGACTTGGGAAAAGAAATCAGAGTGACAGAGTTAATAGACCTGCAGCTGCCGCCCTTCCTGAGGACAGGGACTAAGTTTGTATTCTTCTTTGCACACTCCTCTTGACTGCTGCCTAGCACTGTGCCTCACACAAAGCAGGGGCTTTGTGATGATGACTTACAGGATTTGCTGCTTAAGAATACAGATGGTACATGAAAATACAGTACATGCTCAAGAAATCCTCACTGTTACTATTGCTATTATTTACAAATACGTAATCCAATCATCCCTAAAGTGCCTGTGCTCATCAAAACTCACGCACAACTTTTTTTAAGGAACATCTCAACTTCCTTGCTTGCCAAGGCAACAGCTCAGTTATGAGTTTGAGTTACTTTTCCTGCCCTTCATACAAAGATGTGGGATGCAAACTCTTCATCTACTCACTCATCCATTCATCCACTCAACAGTTAGTGAGCACCTGCACGTGGCAACATCTTTGACTCTATGTAGGGAATCAAAGTTGACTGAGACGAAGCCCCTGTGTAATGCAAAGACCTGTGGCCTATTAGAGATAGACAAGAAATCAAAATAGACTGAATGAGAGAATCAGCCCATGCAATGAGACAAATGACTTCAGTGGTTCCAACAAGTGCCAGGAGATCCCGAGGGAAAATGACTGTTAAGAGAGGGAGAGATTTCCTTACCTTCTCTGCAAGCCAGCCAAGATGCCTGATCTCTCGGCCCCCAGCAAGGCCTGTTTTCCCCAGCTGCTGTCTGACTTCAGCAATTGCTTGGGTCATCAGGTCACTGACATTGGAATGGATGGCACTGAACCAGGCCTGGGCGGTGGCTGAGTCCTTGCTTCTTAAGATCACCGTATGCTTAGCATCTGGAGAGTGGATTTCAAGCTGCCTAGAGAAGTGAACAGAGAAGGGTTAGTAAGTCCCATGGCAGATCATGTATCATCAAGACCTGGGCCACAAAGACACACAAATCCTTGATTCTTTCTTTCAAACTTTTCTAGTTTTGCATAGTTCAGCTTAATGGTCCCATCATTCATTCATTCATCCACAAATATCTATTGGGTGCTCCTCAGGTACCCAGACATTATTGTAGGCACTGGGGATATATCTGTGAATAGCACAGAAAAGCACCTGTTCTCATGGACCATAGAATCCACAGAGAAAAGGCAAATAAGCAAGTGAATAAAATATGGATATAATTTCAAAGAGCTACAATCCTATAAAGAAAAGTGAAGCAAGCAAGAGATTGAGGGGAAGGTAGGAGGATGGGAGAGGGTGACGTAGGAAGACCTTACCATGGAAGTGACCTTTAAGCAGAGAACAGAACTATGGGAAGGACTGGGCTGTGTAAGATCTGGGAGCTCATCACAGGCAGAGAAAACAGTGTTTAGAATAGCCTTGTTGCTGTTGTTGTTCTTAGGTGTCATTGGGTTGATTTTGACTTAGAGTGATCCCTTGTGACAGAGCAGAACTGGTCCATCAAGTGTTCTAGGCTCTGATCTTCACAGAAGCAGACTGCCAGGTCTTTCTTTCTCCCACCGAGCTGCTGGGTAGGTTTGAACTGCCAATCTTTTGATTAGTAGTTGAGCACTTAACCATTGCACCACCAGGGTTACATGGAAAAATTTTAAGGCAGAAGAAAGCTTGACACATCTGCCAATAAGCAAGAACATCCATGTGATCATGATGTCTAACGGGAAAAGTGGTACTGGACAAAGCTGGAGAGATGGCAGGGGCCAGGTCAAGAAGGGCTTGAAGGCCATGGTGAAGGGTTTGGATTTTAGTGTGATAAATGGTTGTGGGCAACCACAGAAGGATTGTGGCTGTGAAGTGATCTAATCTTAATCTGCATTTCTACCATATGGAAAATAGAGTGTAGGGCTAAGTAGGGAGTGTGAAGACCTTCTAGAAGGCAGTTGCAATAAGCAGTCCAGATGAGAGATGATGCTAGTATGGGCTAGAGGGCTGTGGTAGTATGGGAAAAGAAGGTCAGCTTTGGAATATGTTTTCATACAGAGATGCATTTGAGGAATCAAAAAACAAAGTCCATATAAAAAAGCAAAATGTGCAACCACCAAATCACCTGAATAAAGGATGCCTGGTTTACCTATTATTCAACTGATTGGCTTATTAGTAATATCAGATCAAAGCTCTAAAACTACGAGTGGACAGTAATTTGCCCTACCTCTCAGACCACAAAAGATTTTAATAATATAATCATGTCCTTGCTGCTACTGGCAAGAAGTAAACTTATATATTTAGCCACTGCAATCAAGTCAATTCCAACCCACAGTTACCCTCACTGGGTTTCCAAGGCAGTAAATCTTTAGTAGATTGCCCCATCTTCCTTCTGCGGGGTGGCTGGTGGGTTTGAACCACCAACCTTCTGGTTAGCAGTCATATGCCTTAGGCACTGCACAACCACAGTGTTAATCAATTGAGAATCTTTTAGAATCAAAGAAGACCAAAGTTTTCCTTCCTTTGGAACCCTGTCTATGGCCCACTTAATTATCATCTAATCCTCATACCCATGTTGGTAAGGAGTGAATGGACCAAGGAAAGGGTAACATCAGGAAAAGAGATGTATTATCAGTGCAACTTTAAGTTTAAAAAATCAAACCTTATGACAGAACTCAAATTGGATCACCAGAGGTACAGAGTCCAATGTACTGTTCATCATGGTAATAGGAACAAATTCTAGGCAGATAAGCTTTGTTTAAAACTTGTTTTGAAGTAATTTTAGATTCACAGAGAGTAGCAAAAATAGAACAACAGTCACTGTACCCTATTTCCCCCAAGGCTTATACTTTACATATCTATTATATATATTAGTGTGCAATCCCAAGAAAGGTGATCCAACAATATCATTCATATCACACAGCAAGTAAAATTTGCAGAAGGTAAGTAAAAAACAGTTGTAGCACTACATCAACAAGGAACTGCCAGAAATTCAAGCTGGATTCAGAAATGGACATGGAATGAGGGATATCATTGCTAATGTCAGACAGATCCTGGCTGAAAGCAGAAAATATCAGAAAGATGTTTACCTATGTTTTATTGACTATGCAAAGGCATTTGAATGTGTGGACCATAACAAATTATGGATAACATTGTGAAAACTGGAATTCCCGAATACTTAATTGTGTTTATAAGGAACCTATACTAGACCAAGGGGCAGTTGTTTAAATAGAACATGGTTAAAATCAGGAAAGATGTGTGTCAGGGTTGTGTCTTTTCACCACACTTACTCAATCTGTCTGCAGAGCAAATAATCCCAGAAGTTGGACTATATGGAGAAGAATGTTGCCTAAGGATTGGAGGAACACTCATTAGCAAGCTGTGATATGCAGATGACATAACCTTGCTTGCTGAAAGAGGACTTGAAGCATTCACAGATGAAGATCAAAGACTATAGCCTTCAATATGGATTATACCTCAACATGAAGAAAACAAAAATCCTCACAACTGGGCCTATAAGCAGTATCATGGGAAATGGAGAAAAGATTGAAGTTGTCTAGGATTTCATATATTTAAATCCACAATCCATCCATGCCCATGGAAGCAGCAGTCAGAAAATGAAAATCAGTGTTAAGGGCTGAAACAATGAACTCAAAGATAGCAACAATCATGAAGAGGGCACATGACCTGGTGACATTTGCTGTTATACCTAAGGTTGCCATGAGTCACAACCAACTTGATGGCAACTAAGAACAACAATGTGACTGTACCGTTCCATGCCATGTTATCACAGGTGTGGATTTGTCTAACCAGCACCACAATCAAAATAGAGCGATTATATCACTACAAAGATCTCCCTGCTATCTCTTTATAGTCACACTCACTCCTCCCCCTCCACCATGAGGCTTCCCGGCAACACCTAATCTGCTTCCCATCCCGATAAATTGTATACAGATATTTTTTATTTCAGGGAGAGAAAAACCCAAAAGATATATTTTCATTCATGTATACATACACATAAATATCATTCATGCGTTAGAAAGATACAAGAATTTAGGAAATCCGAAACTGAATAAAAATTACTCACCCATTAATTTCTTCGCTACCATGCATTGAGAATGTATTGTATGTCACGCAAACTTTTAAATTCTTTTACATTAAACTCACTGCCATTGAGTTGATTCCGACTCATAGCAACTCCCTTTGGGTTTCTGAAATCTATGGAAGTAGATTGCCCAGTCTTTCTTCCGTGGAGTGGCTGGTGGGTTTGAACCACTGACCTTCTGGTTAGCAGTCAAATGCCTTAGGCACTATGCCACCAGTGCTCCTTCCTATTACATTGTTGTTGTTGTTATGTGCCGTTGAGTCGGCCCGGACTCATAGCGACCCCTCCTTGGGTTTCCAAGGCAGTATCACTACGGAAGTAGGATTGCCCAACCTTCCTTCCGAGGAGTGGCTGGTGGGTTTGAACCGCCAGCCTTCTGGTTAGCAGTCAAGTGCTTTAGCCACTATGCTACCAGAGCTCCCTCCTATTACATTAGTTCATATAATTTTTCTAGCAATCCAAAGGATCCTTGGGTGGTACAGATAGTTATGCCCCTAACTACTTGCTAAAGGGTTGGTGGTTCAAACCCACCCAGAGGCTCCTTTAAAGACATGCCTGGCGATCTGCTTCTGAAAGGTCGCAGTTTAAAAACCATACTGAGCCATTCTACTCTGCACACACGAGGTCACCACGAGTTGGAATTGTCTTGAGAGCAGCTAACATCACAGCAATCCTGTGACTAACATTATTAACCCTGTTTACAGACGAAAAAGTGAAATTTAACAAGACAGAGAAGTAATTTGCCCAAGGCCACAAGATTGGTGACATTGGGATTCAAACCCAGGTTAGTTACTTTCAAAAGTCCATTAATTGAAGTACTGCATTATAATAGCTCTCCTTTAGACTGGATAAAAATTCTGGCTACCACCAGACCTGATAGGATGCAGCTGTACCACTAGGTACTCATCACCAACTTGATGCTTGTAGTAGCCTATTTCTTGGTCTGAGTGGTAATTAATAACCACTTGATACTTGGTACTCATGGGGGCTCAAGCCGAACAGTGTCCTACTTAGCTTCTTAGTTTCCAAATAACAATTTTGCAGACCACTTGCAAGCTAGAACTCCCAATGCAATCTGGCCTTATTAAGGCCCGAGACCAATGTTTTAGAGTGAGTAAACCTGTTTACTCATAAACAAATTGTAGAAAAGAATGATTTAGAAAGTGGGAACATCTCCAGAGGAGTTTTAGCAATAATTAGCATTTCCTTTAAGAAATTTGCAAAACAAGGCTTCTCACTAAGCCTCCAGAGGTATAATTTGATGAAAAGGAATTTTTTAGGACATTTGTCCTCACCCAGAAGAAAAAAAATCTCATACCTCATAGGCACGTCTTAAGTCTTAAACAAACGGGCAGTCTATCTAGTAAATCTAGGGTGAGTTTTCCTTTGTTCCCAAAGTTCTTACTCTTCAGTAAAGTTTCAAACCAGAACAACAAACTAGGATTCTTGAAAAGCGCTCACTCACAAGAGCTCAACTCGCTTTCCAAATTAATCTATCATTATCTATTACCCCAGGGTTTTAAAACCTACAAAAACTTCATCTATGATATTTTCCTTTGAGGACCTGGAATTGTTTTTAAAGAAATGAGACTTGAGAAGCAGCCACTCCCCAGGTATCACACACAAAAAATTGACTTCAACAGAAAAGAAAGAAAGAAAACAGAATATTTTCTTTGTTGGGCTGCCAGCATACTGTCAGAGGAAATAGAGTTGTAAACAGACGTACAGGCTAGTACTGATGTGGGGACCGGCTCTCCCAGGTTTTGACAACATTTATCAGTTTTAATTTTTTAAGTAAAATTTAAATTTAAATACAGCAGAAAGAA